GGAGAACGGTCACCAATTTATTACTGTTGTAGATGGAGCATCCATTTTCTAGAAGATTGAAGTAGTATTTGTTGGGTTTCTCTGGTAACTCATGCTATTAAGCATCATATCATGCACTTATTGGCCATTTGTTTACCTTCTTTGAAGAAATGTCTCTTAAGATCCTTTGACCATTTTTTACTTGGGCTATCAATGCTCTTTGTATATTCTGAATGTAAGTGTCTAATCAGATATATGACTTACAAATATTTCCATTCAGTGGGCTGTCTTTTTACTTCCCTTTTTGGTGACTTTGGAAGCACAAAACTTTTTAATTTTTAATGAAATCCAGTTTATCAATGTTTTCTTTGGTCACTTGTGTTTTTAGTATCAGATTCACAAACAAACAAACAAAACATTGCTTGACCTCAGATCACGAAAACTTAATATCTATATTTTCTTCTAAGAGTTTTATAGTTTTAGTGCCTACACTTAGGTCTGTGATCTATTTTGAGTTAATTCTTGTATATGGTGTGAGGTATGGGACCGACTTCATTCTTTTGCATGTGGATATCCAGTTGGTTGTTCCAGCACCATTGGTTGAAAATACTAAGACTAGGCAAGATTTAAGAGAACAGTGTGAGCAAAGGTTTTAGAGGCATGAATGCATGGTGTTGGGAATAGCAACTGGTTCAGTTTGACTAGACCAGTGGTCGGCAAACTCATTAGTCAACAGAGCCAAATATCAGCAGTACAACGATTGAAATTTCTTTTGAGAGCCAAATTTTTTAAATTAAATTATATAGGTAGGTACATTGTTATTAACTTAATTAGGCTAAAAACGTCCTCAATCTGATTGAGGTATGTTCTCTGAGGTCGACCCCTTCCAACTCTCCTATCCACACTCGTCTTGCATACTCATTTCGTCTCCTTTCGTTCATCCTCTCTATATGTCCGAACCATCTCAACATACCTTTCTCAATCCTCGACACTACATCTTCTTTCACTCCACAATGTTCCCTAAAGTTAACTTAATAAACTTTCAAGTTTTAAGTCAACTTCGCACTGTACGTGCGCAACCGCACGTGGTATTTTGTGGAAGAGCCACACTCAAGGAGCCAAAGAGCCGCATGTGGCTTGTAAGCCGCGGTTTGCTGACCACTGGACTAGACGATTGGACAAGTAGGGATATTTCATGGGAAATTAAGCTGAAAACACATGTATGGTCAGATTATGGAGAGCCTTGAGTGCAAGAGTTGAAAAACTAAGGAAGATACTTGAGCAGGATATCAGAATCAGGCTTACAGAAGACTGATGTAGCTGCAGACTGACTATACGCTGGATTGGAATGGGGTAAAAATTATAATGAGAGAGGTTGATTAGTAGGGCTTCTACAATGGTCTAAGTTGGAGGCCACAAATAAGATATGACAGTGAGAATTCCTGAGAAAAGTGAGAGAGAGAAAAGGGAGCTGGTAAGTGAAAAGTATAGTGGAGGTAAAACATGCAAGTCTTACTGATTAAATAGTGAAAATGGATTGAGAGAGATGTGGGGAAATAGTGGCTCTATTAACAAAACATAGTCAAGTCAGGAGAAGTGTCAAGTTCAACAGGGAATATTAGTTGGCTTTTATTTATTTATATATTTTTAAATATATTTTTTAATTGATTTCAGAGAAGAAGGGAGAGGAAGAGAGAGATAGAAACATCAATGATGAGAGAGAATCATTGATCGGCTGCTTCCTGCACACCTGACACTGGGGATCAAGCCCACAATCTGGTCATATGCCCTGACTGGGAATCGAACCGTGCCCTCCTGGTTCATAAATCGATGCTCAACCACTGAGCCACACCGGCTGGGCATAAGTTGGCATTTGGACATACTGTCTTCATAATTTGAAACATTCCCAGTGGAGAAGTCTAGCATTCATTTGGTAATGCAGCTCTGGATCTCAAAATGAAAGGGCTGGAGGTAAAGATTTGGGAGACATTGTATAATCATGGTAGTTAAGACCACGGGCATGAATAAGGGTTTTTCTCCTATTCCCCTATCTCTGTAGATAGTTGCCCTTCTGTGTTTCAGGTGGACAACATAATGATTTGATGTGTGTGTATACTGTGAAATGATCATTACAATGCGTCTAGTTAACATCTATCACGACAAGTCGTTTCTTAATACTGGCTATTTTGGTTATGAGCAAGTCAGCCACAATGGTTCAAATAGGTCTGCCAATAACTCAGGGTTTCCAACACAAGTCAGTTTATGGGAATGCTGTCCAACTAAGGCTGGCAGTCGTGTCTCATGGCAGTTGCTCAATTAAATCTGATTAATCAATTGAACTAGACCAGCATGTCATACAAAACTTTACATATTGCGGGGCCCTTGAGGAAGGAAGAATCCTCCAGTATTCTGCGCAACACTCCCTGCGATTCCAACCTCGCGTCCTCTCACAGGGAGTCTCTTCACCCAGGCTCATGGCAGAGCTTTCTCCTCTGTCTGCCACTTGATATTTGTTTTGTTGCTTTGCTTTCTTTCCTGACGCTGTCTGTCCCGGGGAATGGGAACTAGCCTCTGTCTTGCCTGGTAATGTCCAAGCATCTTTGGCAGTTATCTAACAGAAAAAACACCCTCCTGAGCCAGAGCAAGCAGAGGGCCTGGCTGACTCCTCTGACACCGCTCTTTCAGGATCAGAAATTTATCTGCAAACCCATAATGGCTTTAGCAGTTATGAATTCATTTAAATTGTTTTGAATTTATTTCTGTTCTTTGCTGGTACTACCACTCCCAAGATAGTAGTACTTTTTAGTCAACTTAATTTTGCCAGCCAAGCTTTGAAGTTTTAGGGGGTTTTTTGTTTGTTTGTTTGCTCATTTATCTCTCTTTAATTTAACAAAAGTGAGAGTTGAAAATGACTGACAAAACATGGAGTTGCAATGTGAACATAAGAGCAGGGACAGACAATAAATTGTTAATAAAAGTAAGTGCAGAGGTAAGAGAGAGAGAATGACCTAACTTAACACAGGGAGAACAGCAGTCATAGGAGCTCTCCATCAAATCAGGATCTTTCATCCTCATCTTTAAACACCTTTACTCCTGTATGTTTCACATACCCTTTTCCCCTTACCAAGCTTTAAAGTTTTGTTGACTATGTAGGTTTTTATGATTTTCTAAAAACCTATTACATTTCTTTCCAAATCGTTTTCATCTTCTCTCACATGGCAGCCTCCCAGTTTATAACACTGTTTTTCAAAAACCACCCACATTTTAGGTGTTATTTGTGTTTGATATGAAGAGAGTCGGCTAAGCTCTTTTCACTTCTGATGATGGCCAGCATCTTATTGGCCTTTACCATTGCAGGGTACACCAACTTTCATGGAACAATACATAATGATTCCCATGTTACCTTCTTCCATTATAATGGGAAAAGAGCAATAATAGGTAATATATTTGGGTTAATTTTCAAATGCCTATCCTGAAGTCCATTTGCCAGGTTATATACTAGTATGTATGCATTGAATTTTTAATTTTTATATAATTATAGACTGGCAGAAGATTGCAAAGAAATGTGCAGGGAAGTCCTACACAAGCCTCTGCCAATGGTAACATCTTACAACTATCCTATAATATTTATAAAGTTCTATAGTACAATATTTATAAAGTTTATTCAGACCACCAATTTTACATACACCCAGTGTGTATGTATAGCTCAATGCAATTTTGCCACATGTATAGCTTTGCATAATCCCATCGCAATCAAGACACTTAATTTTACCATCACAAAACTCTCTGGTGTTATTGTAGCCACATGCATCCCTCCTCTTTAACCCCTGGGAACCACTAATCTATTCTCCAGCTCTATAATTATGTATTTCACAATTATTACATAAGTGAAATCATGCAGTGTGTGTCCTGTTGAGATTGGCTTTGATCACTCAGTATAATTGCCTTGAGAGTCATTCAAGTTGTTGCATGTATCAGATGTTTATTCCTTTTCATTCCTGAGTAGTATTCCATTGTATGGATGTACCACCATGATTTTAATATTTTCATTGATTTTCTTTTAGAGAGAGGAAGGGAGAGAGAAAGAGGGAAAAACATTAACGTGATAAGCAAAATATCGATCAGCTGCCTCCTGCATGTCCCCTGCTATGGATGGAGCCCACAACCTGGGCATGTGCCCTGACTGGGGAATCGAACCAGCAACCTTTTGGTGCATGGGACGATGCTCAACCAACTGAGCCACACCAGCCAGGCCTTGTACCACAGTTATTATAACCACTCACTCTTTGAAAAACATTTAAACACTTTCAAATTTTGGGTTATTATGAATAAAGTGCTATGAGCATTTAAGTATAAGATCCTGGATAAAAATAAGTCCTCATTTCTCAAGGATAAATGCCCAAGAGTGGAACTGCTAAGTCGTATGACAAATCTATTTTTAGTTTTGAAAGGAACAGCCTAGCTATTTTCTAGAGTCAGATTATTTATTTTTGGACTTTAATTACAATTCAATCCCTAGAAAGATATCCTACTATTTACACCTTTCTGATTAGAGAACTGAACTACCCTCCTCAGAATCCAGGTAGTCCTGGATTCAAATCCTGATTCAATAATTAGCTGGGTGACCTTAAATACTTTTTTGAGTCCCAGATTCCATATTTGTAAAATAGGGATAATAATGCCTGCAATAGTAAGGATTTAACAAAACCAACATGTAAAATACTGAGAGTAGAGCATCTATTACACAGTAATGAGTTAATGCTAGCTCTATTCCAACCCATGGCAAAATAATGACCAAACATTACTCCCAACACTTTTGGTATTTGAAAAGGAGCATAATACATGTTCTTTTTTATTAAATAAGTGGTCTTTAGTAGACTCCTTATGCATAATTTTTCCTTGGCAAACCATTTTCCCTTTCTTCCCATCAATTATATTTTCTAAAGTAATCCTTACAACTCCTGGCAGCAGAACTGAGTTGGTGCATCTCCATTACGCTCTGTGGTTTTGTTCTCTTCTAGGTCAGTGAACAATTTTCTGATGACTGGTCCAAAGGTAAGAAAAATATTCCTTTGGTTTGTTTAGATTTCACTAATCTTAGCTTCTTAACTGAACACCATACATGCTAATTTCTTTTCATTATATCCACACTTTTTATTGTGCTGTACCTATGACAGACAAAAACTGAGGCACAGAGGGGATTAGTGACACAACCCAAACCACACAGCAGACTAGTGTCAGAGCCAAGGCAAGAACTCACGAGTATTGATTCTAAATTTACAGCAGAATTTCTAAAGCCAGACAAGTCGACAGCCTTTCACAGCATCAGGCTGCAGTCACACAACCTTCTCAGGCAGGGGAGGGATGCAGTCTTTACAATGCTGCTATTGTACTGCATTATCTCTAAGGACATTTCCAGTTCCAATATATTATTTTCTAAGATGGTAATGGGATGAGAAGAGCGAAAATTCATGAATTATGTAATTTGGGACCACTTTGGAGAGGCAGAATAGTGTAGTGAGTAAAGTCAGGTCTAGTGACCGATAAACTGAATTTTATTCCTACTTGTATAATTTGCTAGCTGTGGGATCTTGGGCAAATTGCTTTACTTCACCTCTCTGAGCCTCAGATTCCTAATCTATAAAATGGTTCCTATTTGACAAGGTTATTTGTGATGTTAAATGAGACAACACATTTAAAGTGCTTACTCTGTCATTATTTTGGAGGGATGGGAAAGTGGGCAGGAAGAGAGGGGCTTGGCCACTTGAGGGCAAGTGTCTCCAAGTCCAGCTTTTGTAAGTCTGAATTTTGACCCCTGTGTCCCCGAAGGCTTACCTGATCTACTCCAGCAGCGTGGCAGCTGGTGCCCAGAGCGGGATTGAAGAATGCAAATACCAGTTCGCCTGGGACCGCTGGAACTGCCCTGAGAGAGCCCTGCAGCTGTCCAGCCATGGCGGCCTGCGCAGTGGTAAGGAAAGCCTTGGCCACAGCTCCCTGGACCCCCTGGCCACAGGTTAGAGCCCCACTCCCTAGGGATGGCCCCTGCCTCCTCTATACCCTAACTCCTCACCTGGTCTTTACTCTCAGGTGACCTCCCTCTCTGGGATCTTCTCTGTTCCATCTCTAGCTCCTTTTTCCTACCTAAGAGCTTTGCTCTTTCTTCCCCAAAACCCTCCCTGTCCAACAAATGGACCTCATCAATTGGCTAATGGCTTCCTCACTATATAAATAACATCAGGAGGTAGGTAGGGTCATAATCCCTCATTCCTCTCAGCTCCTTCCTTCAGCAGGCTCAGCAGCCAGGTACAAGGCAAGTGGGGACAGACCTGGAGACCAGATTTCCCTGGAGAAGAGAGAGTGGCCATGCCAGTAAATAAGAGCTGGCAGTCAGAGGTTCTTTCAGAACTGGTGGCGCATGCCTCTTAGACTTCAATGTTCCAGGAGGAAGTGGGATGGGTTCTTGATAGCCTGGCCTTCAGATTCATCTCTTCCTCAGGCTCTTTCCCACCGAAATCCTTTATCTAGCCACCTAATCACAAAGGGTATGACTTGAAAAGATGGGAGGGGAGAAAGGAAGGGCTGAGACCAGGGCTGGAGTGGACCCTGGAGAGAATAAGGAACATTATAAAGGTGGGGAAATAGGGTAGAGCTGGGACAATGATTGTATTAAAGGGAGGTGGCATGTCTGGTGTTTCTTTGGGTTGCGACTCCTCCCTCTGACTCACCCAATTTCTGGTTCCTGCCAGCTAACCGGGAGACAGCATTCGTACACGCCATCAGTTCTGCTGGCGTCATGTATACTCTGACTCGAAACTGCAGCCTTGGGGATTTTGACAACTGTGGCTGTGATGACTCCCGCAACGGGCAGCTGGGTGAGTAGGGCAGGCCAGTAGAGTTCACTTAAAGAATGAAAAGCTTGGTGGGTAGCTGGGTGGGGTGCAGAGGAACTGTATTCTTCTTAATCTGAGGAAAATCAGGGTGAACCAGTTTAAACCCAAACCCTAATGTGTCAGACCAGGTTAAATGCTGCATGGGCTCTCCTTCACCTACTGAGTAGCTTCCTTAACACAATAATGATAAAGGAACAGCATCCCCCATGGAGTCAATCGGTCACTCTCTCAAACATAGTGGGGACATCCTTCCATATGGTCTGTCTCTGTCTCCTTTCCACTCTTCCTCCACTGTCCTAATCCTCCCTGCCCTGCGGCTGAACTTCCAACTTAGTTGTTCCATATTATTCCAGTTGCTCCTCTCTCTCTCTCTCTCTCTCTCTCTCTCTCTCTCTCTCTCTCAGTGCTCGCGCGTTCCTCACCTTTCTTCCAGCCATTTTGTCCTTTCTGGAAGTCAGTCGCTGGCGGGCACATGCACACTCTGCCCAAAGGCCAGAAACTGTATGAAGATGGGCGCGCAGGCACCTTGCAGAGAATCCACTCCGCAACTACTTACGTCATGGAGTCCTGAGCAGATGATAGGCTACACGTGGGCGCTCGAAAGTGGCAAAAACAAGTCTAGGCTGAAACTAATCTGGAGACAAGGCACTCACCCAACCTTAAGCTCAGATTCCCAATTAGAAACAGCTGCTCAACGACCTTCCCTCTCCCCTGCTCTTTTCCAGGGGGTCAAGGCTGGCTGTGGGGAGGCTGCAGTGACAACGTGGGCTTCGGAGAGGCAATATCCAAGCAGTTCGTTGATGCCCTGGAGACCGGACAGGATGCCCGGGCAGCCATGAACTTGCACAACAATGAGGCCGGCCGCAAGGTGAGTCTTGCAGCCCCTGGGGTTGGCAGCTGGCTCCATCCATTACCACGCCTAAGTGAGGACAACTCCTCACTTCATTTAAGTTTGGAAAAACGAGGTACTGAGGCGTAGGAGGTACTAGACGCCTAGCAACGTCCCCCACCCCCCCAAGAGGCAGAGACTCCCCACGCGCTAAATCCCCGGCCCGCTCACTCCTCTCCCCCCAGGCGGTGAAGGGCACCATGAAACGCACGTGTAAGTGCCACGGCGTGTCTGGCAGCTGCACCACGCAGACCTGCTGGCTGCAGCTGCCGGAGTTCCGCGAGGTGGGCGCGCACCTGAAGGAGAAGTACCACGCAGCTCTCAAGGTGGACCTGCTGCAAGGTGCTGGCAACAGCGCGGCAGGACGCGGCGCCATCGCCGACACCTTTCGCTCCATCTCCACGCGGGAGCTGGTGCACTTGGAGGACTCCCCAGACTACTGCCTGGAGAACAAAACGCTAGGCCTGCTGGGCACGGAGGGCCGAGAGTGCCTGCGGCGCGGGCGGTCCCTAGGCCGCTGGGAGCGCCGCAGCTGCCGCCGGCTCTGCGGGGACTGCGGGCTGGCGGTGGAGGAGCGCCGCGCCGAGACCGTGTCCAGCTGCAACTGCAAGTTCCACTGGTGCTGCGCGGTCCGCTGCGAGCAGTGCCGCCGGCGCGTCACCAAGTACTTCTGCAGCCGCGCGGAGCGGCCGCGGGGGGGCGCTGCGCACAAACCCGCGAGAAAACCCTAAGGGTCTCCTCTCCCGCTCCTTTCCCCATTTGTCCTCGGCTTCTTTTAGAGACCCCAGTAATAGAGGAACCTAGAGATGCGGATCCCGCACTCGCAAGCCCAGGGATCCCGAGAGAGACGCTGCCATCTCCGGGGATGTCACTTTCCACCCTGTTTTCCCATTTCCGGGGCGCTCTCTGGGAGCTGTCTGAAGGGTCCTCACGGCCCACACTTACTCTGAGAACTTTCTGAGGTTTGAGCTATTGATCTTCTTTGGACGAGGATGAGAATAGATGGTCCTCCTCCCCGTCCTAGTTGCCCTAACGCTGGACCTAGCCTATGGAGCCTTAGGAACAGGAAGACCCCTGCTCAAATATACAGAGCTCACAGGGGGGTGGGGGTGGGGGGAGCCTTGGCTTCTCTCTTGTCCATTTTTGCGCCCCCCCCCCTTTTCTGCCAGGTCTCTATCACAGCTACATCTTCCTTCTGCAGAGCCACTCCCCAGGAATCTCTAATGCTTTCTCTCCCCTTCTCCCTTACCCTCTTTCCCTAAAGAGAAACTGTGAGAAAACTGACCCAGGAAAAGCATGTGTTGGGGGACCGGTTCTTGAGGCAAGGGTTGAAGATGGGGAAAGTGGGGACCCTAGAGTGCTGCCTGCTGAAAACCCAGGGTGCTACTCATCCTATGACTCCGTGTCTAATGGACTTTACCGGTGGGACAATGACTTCCTGACAATCACCAAGGTGCTCCAGACACATACCCACAAGGTCTAGGAGCTATGTAAGGTCAGATGGCCAGCCATTTCCTACCCTTTAAGGTACTTCCCTGACCCTAACCCACTGCCCCCTAGCAACCATCTCTACCTCTTCTCCTTCCCCACAGGATCCGTGAGCCAAGACTGAGCTCCATAAAGCCAGTTTCCCATTAGGGTGTGCACCTCTAAAGGCAGGAATAAGAAAGGAGGAGCTGGGACCCTTCCTTTTCACTAACCTGGTTCTCAAACAGGCAGGATTCAGGGCCTTGGATACCTTCCTTTAATAAGTAAACTTTCTGCCATGAAACTAGAACTAATAGGAAGTTCAGTACCTTGGATTTTTGATTTATTGCAGTTGCTGTGATATGTGCCCTTTTTTTCCAGGGATTGAACTTATTCTTGGGGACACAGAGGAAGGCGGGTGGAAGATACAACCTCTAGGCCAGTGATGGCGAACCTATGACACGCGTGTCAGAGGTGACACACCAACTCATTTTTTTGGTTGATTTTTCTTTGTTAAATGGCATTTAAATATATAAAATAAATATCAAAAATATAAATCTTTGTTTTACTATGGTTGCAAATATCAAAAAATTTCTATATGTGACATGGCACCAGAGTTAAGTTAGGGTTTTTCAAAATGCTGACACGCCGATCTCAAAAGGTTCGCCATCACTGACATAGGCCCGCCCCTTGGTCCCACCTTGCAGAATAGCATCCTCTGTAGAGCCTCACTTCCCTGACGGCCTATGCCCTATAGTTATTCTGGCCTGAGGCTAATCTGCCAAGGATTAGTCCATCAGCCACATAAATCTTCCACTAATACGCTCACTCAGTAGTGAGAGCACGCTGCTGCGGTGCTCGAGTCTCTGGTTCTTGTCCCAGAAGCAGGACAGCAGGGACTTGCTTAGGAAAGAGGGCCATGGGAAGGGAAGAGCCAATCCCCGACTGTCACTCTGCAGCCCCAGGAGCTTCCCAGCCAACTCTCTTCCTTTAGGCCGGCCGGCCGTGGGTCTGCTCTTTGGAGCAGAACTGGTCAGATGCTAGACAACCTCATCCCGCTTCTCCCAGAGCAGGAGAAAGCACAGAGATGGTGTGATCCCAAGTAGGTAACAGGGGCCAAGGCTCTAGGGGACAACCTGTGAGTGTAAGGGCTCCCATATTCCAAACTGAGACAGTGGCCAGATCAGACCCCAAGGCCCTGGCCTCATTCCTATACCTCTTCTGGTCCTAACACTTATGAGAAGAGCGGTTCTCCCTCCTTCCTTAGAGGGGACACACTTCCCTTCAGGGTTCCCTAGTGCTGTATTCCCAGCTCCACCAGCAAAATGCCTTTGCTTCTTCCCTCAGCTTTGATCTGGGTCTCTTGAGTTTCCCAACTTGCCCTTCTTCCTTCATCAAGCAGCAGCATATACCAACCTGCCGTCCCACGTGGCGGAGTATTTGATAGTGTACAGTAAGAAACCTGGCAAGGCAACTACAAAATCTAAAAAAGCATGATGTTGTAAAGGAAAGCTGCATTCTCCAGGGGAGTCTCTCGGCATAAAAGTAGGAGAACTTTTGTGTTTCATAATTGATAACTTCAGGTCAATACTCAAAACATGTCATACTGCCAGGAAGTTCTTTCACAGGTTGTTTGTATTCCCAAATGGATATATTTGATACCAGATACATTCAAGTTCTATAAAGAAAACATTGCTGAGTTACCTTACATTTGTATCGCTTCTCTCCCCGCCCCCCGCTACACACACACTTCTTGCATTATCCATTCATTCATCAACAAACACCAGAGTGGTAAACACTACATTGCTCTCCCTGCATCATGGAGTTTAGATTCTCTCTTAGACTCAATCACCAGGGCTGTGTTCCCCTTACAAACGTGGACAACTCCAGAATGGCTGCTTGGGAAAACACCTTCCAGTCAGCTAGTCAAACCTTCTGTTTTATAGATTTAAGCTGACGCTGAGAACGCTGTCTGGCTTGTTCCATCAGCTAGTAAGTTACCATGGGGTGGGTAGTGAAGCCCAGGCCCCTTCTCTCTTGTGTGCTCTTTAGGACAGAAACAGAGGGAGGTCCTGAGAAGTGACAAGGGCTCTGGCGGTGGGGGGTGGAGGTGGTGTAAAACACTGTCTCCTTCCTGTCCCTGGCCCGAAAGCCTACACACAGGCAGGGCTTTCTTTCCTTGAAAAGAATCTGAGCCTCAATTGGCCTTAGCAGCAGGTTAGGGCAGAGACAGAGACAGGGTCACGCTCAGCGCTGGTGGTGCTGGTGGTGGTGGGAGGGGAGGGCAGGACAGGGCACTCGCCTATTGTGGGTCTGGATTGGATGCTTCCACTCATTCATTTCCTTTTAATTAACCCGCATTCCTGGAGGAGAAATATTTATGTTGGCTCCCATAGAGGCAATCCACAGACTGGAAAGAAGGGGGAAGAAAGCCTGCCTTAGCAAAACAATACCTCTAAAGAGCTCAAGAAGAGAAAATAAGAGAACAAAATGCCATTAAAATAGCTTTCTACCCCCACTGGAGTCAATGAAAACTTCATTTCACATGCTAATCCCCCACTCCGCCCCCTTCTCTTCTCACAACACCTCTTCCGAAAGTGTTTGGGAAAAGTCCTCGCAGTCAGTACACAGCTCCCTGCAGCTCAGACTTCTCCTTGTGTTAGTTCAGGGCCCCAAGTGGGGCTCTCGCTCCAACAGTGGCTCCCTCCCCCTCCCTCTTTAATTTAAACAAAGACCTCGGAGTTCATCAACCTCCCACTGAAATTCACAGCTGCTGAACAAACTAATCCCCTCTCCCGGCCTTTCTTCCCTTCAATGGGCTCTTGGCTTCAAAGACACTTTGGGAAAGAACTTTGCTGGGGCTCACACTGCTTCATCAATAGAAGTTAGTGCAAGTATTATCTGAAGAGCAAGTGGCTTTACAAACAAATACTGCCTAACAATCCCTTCCTCCCAAACACACACATCTAGCCCGCAGACATGATGGGATCTACAACAGGATTAGAGATAGTCCCCCCTGGCTTCACACCCAGTCCCTTTGTGCAGCTGAGCTCAGCCCTGAAGTGGTGTGGGGAAAACCCTGGAGCTGATGGTCAGGCACGGATGGAGATACACACATGCACACATGTGCGCGCGCGCACACACACAGCAGAGTGGCCACAAATGCTGCAAGGAGAGTATTTCAGCGACACCTCCTTTCTTCAACTCTCTTGATTCCCCAGCTGACCCAAAGCCTCTCCCCTGCTTTATTGAGGTGCAGGAACAGAGGACCAGGAAGAGAGGTAAGAACAAAATAGGACCCAGGAGACAATTATTGGGAGATGACGGAGGAAACCAAATCAAGGCAGCTTTATTGCACCTTAAGTACATCAGTGGTTCAAATGCAGCATCCGACCATGGATGTGCAGCCAGAGAAGGCAGCCCCGAGACATGTGGAGGCTGAGGGAGAGAGGGCCTCCCACCCTCGAGGAGCAGTGCTAAAAACAGAGGGTTTTGTTAATATGGCTCCTATTCCAGAGCTGGGCTCATACAGAATGAATGGTCTAGCCCTCCTTGGACCAGGGCTCAGACAGGTCAAGTGAGGGGCCATTTCCCATAGGTGGTGGTCCCTCTGCTTCTATCTCAAGGCCAAGATAGCTCCCAGCAAAAGGCGGTGCACCCCTTCCACCTAACTTCATCCACCCTGACTAATGCTGGCAGATGAGATGTTCCTTTAGAAAAGGGCCAACGTTCCTTCTCTTGGTTCTGCTCAGCACCCATCCCTCATGTCTATGACTTGTTCAGAGGATGAATAGCCAACTCTACTCCAGCCACTGGGGCTTAGAGAAATACGGACCTGGGAGTATGAAGTCAGAGGCCAGGAGAAGGTAAGATTAGGCTCATAACCCACAGAAGGAGAAAAACAAAAGACCCAAAAGATGGGTACAGCAGAGGTAGACTTGGATCCTGCTCATCCTCTTAGAAGCCACTTAAACAGAACATCCCTGGGGAGAAGATACCCTGCCCCACGTCCTGCCCCAGAGAACAGTATTAGGGGAAGAACAGAATTGGCCCTATGCTCTGCCTCAGAGGCTGAGCAAGCCTTGGACAGATCGAGGGCCAGGCACACAGGATAGAAAGCAGGCACTCTGCCAGTTTGGAGCCAAGCCTACAGCATCATATACCCGGCAACAAGAATGAGGGCTGGGAAACACAAACAGAATCTATTCTGAAATTCCCTTTTCCGCAGGGAGAACAGTTAAGTAACAGCAGCAGTGACCTCCTGGTAAGAGAGGCTGCCTGGCTTAGACGTGCAGCTTATGAGCAATGGTGAGGACAGCCTTCAGGATGGGCATGAAGCTGGAGACCTCGCTGAAGCGGCTGCAGCCCACCACTTGGGCATGCACTGCAAGGCCCTGCTCAAAGCTTCCTGTGTCCACACATCGGGCAACCTCGTGGAGCCCAGCCAGGACTTGAGGCGAGAGCTGTGGAGGGATTGGCCCTTCGGTTAGTAAGCCCACACCAGCCCCTACCCTGGCGGCCTGGAAAGGATAAGAGAGGACTGAATTCTGGAGCACAGTCCAGGCAATGTGGATGTATTTTGTGGGAACCCAGGTCAGTGAGACTGAAGGGGAGAGGACAGAGGACACTTGAGTTCCCTTTGGCCCTGGGTGATGGTGGAAGGGCAGGAGGCAGAGGAGCACTAAGTGTACTTACTGTCCCCTCACAGAGCTTCTCATACAGACATTCTAGGCGTTGGGCTGCCTCATCCAGCTTCCGCTTTGTCTTCTACAGGGAGGAAAATGGATTCTGATTCTAGCCCCTAAACCTCACACTACACAGGACTATAAAGAATCACAGTAGATTAGAGCCAGAATGGCTAAAGGCTACTTCTTTCATTTTGAAGGAGGAAATGGAAGCCCAAAGAGGGTAAGTGACTTGCTCAAGCTGACACAGCCAGTGAATGCATGGCAAGCTTCCTTACTCCTGGTTTCACTCTCGTTTGTGTACTTCCTGCTGCCTTTCCAAGGGTTTAGTCCCGATGCTACTGGGTCTTGCTGCCAAGGAGCTGGACTTCAGACCAGACAAGTGTCCGCGCC